TATATATTTTACACTATGATCTGTTCATATATCCAACAAAACCCCCTGAATGCAAACTGCCAAATAATCAGAAATGAATGTAAGTGAATGAAAGTGTGTTTGTCCTGAGAGAAATGGGCAAGTTGTAAATCTTTTAATGCCTCAAAAGATCAATGTGAACTTTACTTTTAAGTTTGCATGTTGGAAGGTGCATGACTTGAGTTCACAAACATAATGTTCACTTGTGAGAAAAGAGCAAGTGCTCAAACAAGATTTAACTTATAAAATGAGTCAGAAGTGCTAATGACAATGTGTTATTGAAATGATTTTGTACATTGTATTTCTAATTGTAATTTGATGGTAAATTATTGACATTCATTATGATTTCTTAGAAACGACTACAGACTTGATCTCCAGATCTTCTCTGTTTAAAATTTCTGAGTGTTTTCTTTCAGAATCAACAGGAAAAGGAGTGAATGAAGAAACATCAGTTTAATGGTATAAGCACGCACATATTGCAGTCTCCACTATTATTTTGTTGTTGTTCCATCTCTTTAGTTTTATTTTCTACTGTGAAACAGCAGCCAGGGCCGGTGTTGCCACCTTGTGGAAAAACTGATTAGTGCAAGACCAAGTCAATGCGCATGTGTACAAACTAATACACTAATAACAATATAAAACACACTACAATCTGATGAGCTGCTGAGTTAATGAATGTTAATCACATTGTCTGCATCTGTGCATTATTTTCGCCTACTACAGAATAAACCAGAAGTGGCTTCTGCTTGTTCTTAAAGGATGAATAATTCCAAATTAACTCCACATTATAATATACATGTAGCGCATCAATTCTACATGGTAAGACTGTTTAACTCTCCCTCTCTTTGCATGCGTGAGAAAAACACTGAGCTCTCTCAGCTAAGCAATGGCGAGTTGGGTGCCTTCACACTACAGTTTATGGTGCGTCAAATCTGCTGCGCATCCATTGAGATGAATTAAAATAGCTTGCCTAAAAGACGGAGAGTGAAACTCTCAAGCGTGCTGTGTTCAAAATGAGTGAATCCAATTGAAATATCTGTGTTAAACGTACACTTAGCATCTAATTCAAACGTTGGCGATTGAAATCTTAACAATTTCCCTGCTGGAAAAAAAAAAACATAGCTGGGTTTTGACCACTTCTTTAGCTAATATGGCTGGGAGACCAGCTAAAACCAGCTCAGCCAGGCTAGGAGACAAGCTTGACCAGCTCAGCCAGGTTGGTAGACCAGCTAAAACCAGCTACTTCTAGCTTAAACCGACTAAGACCAGCTAACCAGTTTAGGCTGGTATTTGCAGTTTTTTTAAGCAGGGTTAGCCAATGCCTAATGATAGACATTATTTTGTAAATTTAGTCACATATGCGAATTCTCGCATTGTGGAGGGTTGCTGTGTCTCTTGAAAAGCTTCTTTGGTTTCAGATGAAATGTCGATGAAATGATGAAACACACACACACACATATATATATATATATATATATATATAGTTGTATTAATGTTACACTACATAACTGTTACCCTTTTAACATAATTTGAATCTCATAACAATGTGAGTGCGTGTTGCTGTTTTATATGATTAACACTAATTAATGTTCTCATTCAACTTTGATCACGGTGTAAAGATTACATGACCTTCTCAAACGTTGCATGTTTTTATGCTACATCAAATAGTAATGCTTAAATATGTAATCCAAAGATATGTTTTTAAATGAATCTGGGGCTGGATTCACAACAAAAACTATTAAGAAATAAGTTCCATAATAAGTTCGTAAGAATGTTCCTTAGCGCAATTCTTGAAAAATTCTTAAGTTCTCAAATATGCTTTTAAGAACTTTTTTTTTCTTAAGATGAAAATGACAGTCTTTATCTGATTGAATAAAAGGCGGTTCTTGTTGAAAATTCACTAATTAACCCAATGAAAAACACATCAAGGATTGACTTTTTATGCTGCCTGCAGATTACCGTAATAAGCAGCGCACACACTATTTTTGTCATGACCTTGAAGAGCGTTTAGCTTCACATTTTTAATGCATCATGGTTTTGAACAGTTACGTTTAAAGAGCTTGTCTTAAGATGGATTGATCAACAGTCTGAGGTTGTTCTAACTTTAAGAAGCCATTTATGATGATTTTTAAGAAGATATTTTTCAAGAAATGTAATTTTTCTTAAGTTTTGTCTTAAGAACAATCTTACGAAAAAAAGATAAGGATATTCTTAAGAATAATTTTTGGGAATACAAATATTCTTAACTTTTTTTCTTAAGTTAGAAAGCAAGAAGAAAATAGCAGTTAAGAAGAAATTTATTTTTAAAAACGTTTCTTCAGTCTGGCCCCTGTTTATCCATCCTTTAATGATATGTGAATGTCAAATTATAAATGTGACCTGAATTTGGATATGATCTGTAAATAAAGTGAAACCATGAAGAAACCCAGAGGCTTAACTGTGTCTTGCACAGTTGTTCCTATGTTCCTATGGAGTCAATTGGTTGCTGAACAAGCCTACTTTACGGAGTAAAAACTACTCACGCAGTACATCTAAACTCTTCTTCTTTTTTGTGTATTCAGAATCTGTCTGTTAGTAAACTGTTTTTTGTTTCAATGCAAATTTGATTAAAAGCCTAAGTTATTTCTCTGCCCCCTGAGTAACGTCATTATGGTAGCTTTACATTTTAACCAATGTGGTTCAAACGATGGATCTGCGACAAAGTACTGCTCTGGTTACTAACGTAACCTTGGTTCCCTGAGATAACGCTACGTGGAATCACTCTTGGGGAAACTCTTGTTTTGGGGAACATATCATAGTGCTAAGAGCATAAAACAGAAGCCGTCCTGTGAGTCCAGCCCTATAGGATTGCCACCATGAGGGCCCTAAGAAACATAAGTTAACTAGTGAGGAGCGCACAAAGATCTGGTCTGTCCGAAATTGGCTAGAGCGCTCCACAAGTCCTGAGGGCCTGGACCGAGCACAGCAAGTTCTGGTCGTACTGGACCGAGCACAGCAAGTTCTGGTTGTCCTCAGAGGAAGAAAGAGCTAACAGAGTGATGACCTGCGCTATGAACAGTAGAGAGCACTTCAGTTAAGTAACCTAGCTTGGGTTTGAAGATAGCCTTACAGTCGTTTGCCCAAACTCCAAACAAGAAGTGTTCACAGGGAGTGCTTGCAAGTCACCCAGGTACTTGACGGACACTAATGCTAGCAGCGTGGGGCGGGACATGGGCTTTTAGCCAGTACTGAAGTGAATCTTAAGAACAGTCTGTGATGGGGGGCCATCTGGATATGAAAGTGAGCATCTTTCAGATCCATTGATAGAAACCAGTCCACTGGTCAAACTTGCGCGAGGATCTGCTTCAAAGTCAGCATCCTTAAAAGCAGAATGATCTGGGCAGACTCATCCATGGTGCAGAGGAGTTTGGCCTAGAAACCTGGAGGGCCACCATCGTATGGAGATAAATCACATGGCTGAAATGCCATAGGTTTGTGCAGTAAAATTTAACAAATCAGGCTTCAGTATTCAGAGAAAACCAAGTTTCCCCCGAGCATGATTCCATGCAACATGAAAGATCGTTTCGAAAGGGAACTACGATTTCAGGAAACAGTTGTCACTACACCGTTCATTTCCCTAACAATGCATCATACTACAGTTAAGCAGTTATCTATGTACGGAAAAAGAAATAGAGAAGCAGGTAAGACTAGTGGTGGTGCCGATTCTGTTCCTCCTCTGACTGCAGAGGAAGACAACGTTTTGGCCATCCTGGGGCCTGAGGCATTGAAAGGGATGACCTTTACTGTTAGAGCTTTTGAAGAACATGCTGTCATTCCCGAGAACTCCTCATGAAATTCAGCAGGCCAATCAAAAGTTCCACAACATTGCCAGCAACCCTAGAGTGATTGGCATTATTGATGGCAATCCCAGTGTCAAGCCCTGTGGTAAATGACCCCTTGTATATCTGCAGGAACGGTAATCCAGTCATTATTGTGCAAGTAGTGTGTGATCACCTGGGGATCTTCACTGATATTGTGGCAAAATGGCCTGGAAGCACACATGATGCATTTGAAATGCCAGTTTTTCAACTGACCAGGTGATTTTTCATTTATTTGGGTATATTGTCTATTAAAATAACATTTAGTTTCAGAAATGAAATTGTACAAATAAAGTGTGAGGACAACTCTGAATAGAACACAGCCTTGCTGCGGCGAAATCATAGGTGGAGAGCACAATAAACAGAATCCTATGTTCTATAATCATTAAAAATGTTATATATCAAAGCGGTGGTCAGTTTCTGCTCTGGTTATCTTACACACGGTGGTCAGTTTCTGCTCTGGTTATCTTACACACGTTTATGTGCAAATAAGCAGAAACCTCTGCACCTTTTTGCCACATGTGGATACTGAGAGCTTCAGTTTCGTGTGACACTGCTTACCAGTGTTTGTTCTAGCAAAAGCACATTAAACCACAGCATGTTCCGTTATTTTTCTGGTCTGTCCGAAATTGGCTAGAGCGCTCTACAAGTCCTGAGGGCCTGGACCGAGCACAGCAAGTTCTGGTCGTCCTGGACCGAGCACAGCAAGTTCTGGTCATCCTGGACTGAGCACAGCAAGTTCTGGTCGTCCTCAGAGGAAGAAAGCTAACAGAGTGATGACCTGTGCTATGAACGGAGTAGAGAGCACTTCAGTTAAGTAACCTAGCTTGGGTTTGAAGACAGCCTTACAGTCGTTTGCCCAAACTCCAAACAACACCTTTTTGCCACATGTGGCTACTGAGAGCTTCAGTTTCGTGTGACACTGCTTACCAGTGTTTGTTCTAGCAAAAGCACATTAAACCACAGCATGTTCCGTTATTTTTCCAAAAACAGAATGGGGAAAGAATGTGGACAGTTCCAACAAGGGGCAGTTATCATGATTTATTCCTTCAGTCAGGAATGAGCTACAGTTACAATCCTTCAATTGGGAATGAGGTACAGTGATGACATTCATACTGCATATTCATATTGCAATACAGTATTTATTTGTATAGTGCTTTTTACCACACGTTGTTACAGAGCAGATTTACAAAGAACAGAGCTTTACACTGCATTTCTGGATCTGATGTCATAAACTACAAAAGCAACAGCAGCCACACCCACCAGAACAGTGATGGCCAATCGAATCACAGCTTCAGTAACACCACAACAGTGAATTTCTGAAGGAGAAAATTAGGACTTCAGTTAGGTTGCTAAAGGAGGGTCATTTGTTTTGAGAGTTTTATTTATTGAATTTTTTATTACTGGAATTTATACCAGGTACCAAACAAATGCTAATATCAACACTGACGTACCTGAACATGTGTGACAGAGTTTGCTGATGTCCAGATGTTGAGTCTGGTTGCTGATAGGATTGTTGAGCACACAGCTGTAGGTGTTTTTATCCTGATATTCCACCTCCAGAGGTAAAGAGACACTGCTGATGAGATCAGACACACTGATGCTGGACAATAAACTGTTTCCTTTGAACCAGGAGAGAGTCACATGACTCACATTCACCACTGAACACACCAGTGAACAATTCTGCTGTGATGATGATGATGATGATGAACATTGTGAAGAGTCTCTGGTGATGACAGGAATGAGCAGATGAGCTGGAGAATACAGAGAAATGATTTAAAAATTAAGACGTCTCAGAAAAAATGGCAGAAAATCCATTTAGGATGAATTAATCCTAAAAAAAAAAAAATCTGAAATCTTGGGAAAATTATGCTTCTAGAACAACCGAAACATTAGAAGAATAACAATAACAATACATATAGCATATACAATATATTATACATATTTAACAATACTAACAGATACATTAGGTACATGTTTGTTCCCCCAACTAAGACCTAATAAATCTACTTCCAATCAACTTTTAAATTATAAGTATTTTAATATTATGATTTTGCATCAATAAAAGAGTCTGAAATGGACAAGTTACTTACAATAGACAGTAACATTGAATTTCTTGACTCTGTCCCCTGGCCCTCCCTTGATATTTAGTTCATAGAGTCCAGCATCTGTGGTTCTGATGTTCATGATGGTCAGAGATACGGTCTGATGATCCAGTTGCAGTCTGTCTCTGAATCGTCCTTCAGTACCATTAAATAATGAGACCTCATTGTCATCTAAGAGAGCTATGAGAACACCTTGATCTCCAAACTTCCACAGTATCTTATTTCTCTGTGTTACAGTAACATCAGTGTTTAGTGTGACAGATTCTCCCTCCATCACTAACACTGACTTTATTTCATCTGTTTCGACGCCAAACACACCTGCAGAAAAATAAGTTACAGACAAATGAAAAATACCTGAGAGAAAAGAGCACTAAGCACTACTTAAATTTATAGACAAAAGCTTTTTTAATTTAAATATCAATTTGTAAATAGTAATTTTTCTCTGTCAGGAGTTTGACATGTCCAGATATGTTTTAAGCTAATAACAACGACGCGTGCTTAGAAGACAGTAGCAAACAAGTGTCAAACCTGAAGCCATAATACAGACAACTTACCAATGAGATGCCACGAATAATAAAGCAAGGCAAACAGGCAAAGCATTTTCTTCTTTTCGTCTCCAGTATAGCCTATTAATTTTCAAAAATAAGAGAAAACTCTTAAAAGTCCACCAGATTTGTAATTACATGACAGATCATCTGAGAAGATCTGTCCTACGGTGAAGTGATGTTGTGAAGGTCGACAGTCAGTGAGAATAAACTCGCCTTTCACTTGTGTCAAGTTAAACCCAGGAAACACGAAGCAGGACTTTCAATGGTGTAGTTTTTCCCCTTTTCGGACCTGAGTTACGTGTTCCTTAATGAAACTTTAATAAGCCTTCACCCTCTTCTTAACCCTCTGGCCCTCTTCGTTTAGGAGTCACACTTGCCTTCTTCTCGGTCAAAAGTGACCGAAGCCTTGAAATGTAACTTTTTTTTTTTTTCAGGAAAATCAATGTAATATATTTTTGTTCAATAATATTTTATTATTATTATTTATGATGTTGAGGGAATTTTATGATACTATGCAATATTTATACAATTTTAATGAGCTATTTTCTCCATTAGAATTAATATATATTTTTATCTCTGTATTTATTTACTATTTTTTAATAAATGCAATATCTCACATTAAAATAGAGTGAAGGCATTTAAAATACAGTTTTTGAAGTGAGAATTGGGCCATCTGGAGGCATTAAAAAAATAAAAACTTGTGTAATGTTGCGTAACCTCTTGTATTAGCACCCTGTATAGATATATACAGAGGCTTTTGGATTCCCGTTGTTTTTTAGACATCATTTCTTCATGTTTTTAGGTTTTACATTTAGCTCTATATCTAGACATTATAAAAGACTACTTTTTGTCAAGGTTTAGATATTTTTGGTTAGATAAGTAATGTTAGGCTAAAATATGGTAAGATCAAACACAACAATTATCAAACAGTAAATTTAAGAAAAAGAGGAATAAAAATCAAAATAACCATAAATAAATAGAATTGTAACTATTTACATACAAACAGTAATTATTTTATACATTGCTGCAAAAGGGACCAGCCGCGGAGGGACCCTTTACAAAAGGGATTGATTTTATTTCAATAAAAGCTGTCTGCAGTCTTACCAGAGAGAGAGAGAGAGAGAGAGAGAGAGAGAGAGACTTTTGTTGTTTGTTTTCATTTATTGATTTTATTCAACATATTCTCACAATGTGCTCTGTTGCAGTCTTAGTCGCATTTCGTCTGCTAGTGGCAGTCGCATGGAACTTTCAGTTTGGTCGTGAAGCAACCGCTACCATCCGCTTATGAATAATCTGAATGATTTATGTGAATTAATATAATAGGTTAATGAATGTATTAATATATCCACACAAAACAAAACGAACCTGAGGCTTGAGACCCTCTTAGATGCATGTATTATTTAGCATGCATTTTTTAAATGTTTTTATTCTGCTTGAGGCATGAAGTAAATTGAACAACATATAAATAGCAAAATAAAAAAAAATAAAAATAAAAAATAGAACTATGTGAAAGTCATATGTGGTGTTTATATAACAGTTGTAACTTGGCGTGTCCAGGTTGGTCAAAATTTACTCATATGAAATCATTACTTGCTCATATGATCATATGATGATGATTACTCATTACTGACTCGTTTCAGGTCGAACTTTTTTTAATGCTTTATTTGAACATTCAAGTTACTACAAAATTAAAACATAATTATTAAGAATAAATGCAATAGAAAAAATAAGTCATTTAACAATCAACATCGCAGCTCAAAACAGAAACAGCTAGAAATATATAAATTAATTAAAAATAAATAAAATAATTAAAAATGCCTAATTAGGCCTACTCAATTAAATATATATATAAATAAATATATATATATTTAATTGAGTTAATCACATTAATTAAAGAAATTACATGTTCTGACTGCTTTTTTTTAGAGAAATCTAAATTGTACTCAAATTATATTTTATTTCTGCAACGGCCCTCACCCTCACCGTGATGACGTCATGTGTTCAGCTCGCACCTTTGCGCTCGTGCGGACGCGGTGAGTATAACGATGAGGGTGTGTCTCACAAACGACCGAGATTTATAGCCACAACCTTTAAAGCCACAAACTCATCTCTCACTCAACGTCGCAGCAATATGAAGATCGTGTTTGCAATGTTTTTATCCATGTTCGTCATTGACGGTAAGTGATTGAATTCTGATTTTCTTTAATGCTTTCGGTTTCACTTTCCTCCAGGATTACCTGGCCTGCGTCACAAATGCTGGCTTCAGATCCTCATTAATTCATTAATTAGCATTAAACAAACTGTGAAGTCTGAGTGATTCATTTTACATTAATATGCTAAAAATTCATGTGATATCACTGAAATACAACACCAAAATAATCAGGCAAACCATTTAAAGGCTGCAAATAACTCTTGTCCTTAAGACAGCGATGATAAACACACTACCACTCGCCTTAGCTGCTACATTTATTACGTTATTAAGTTAATGTAGCAAACGTTTGCTCCTTGTTAAATTTCTAATATCCCCCTATTTACTTAATCCTGGTGCTGACACATATTTATTTATTTCATTTATTACTAAAATTGATTTAACAAGAAAATAAACTCTTGAGATTTCAAATTTAAAAATCAGGTTGCTGGCCAAGACAGGCAGCAGACTTTATTAAAAATAAAAACATTTGAGCATAGGACAAATACATTAATTCACTTATACAAACAATATTTAAAAAATATCATTTTACCCATATTTGTAAAAACGTTTGGGATGTTTGAATCCCGAAACGGGTAAGGGCTTTTGAATTAGTAATAAACCATAATGCTCCATGATAAACAGAATGCAGCTACTGTAAACAATGCTTAAACAAAGCGCCTGCATGTAGATAATTTCACAATAATCCAACACTGACAAGAGAGTAGTAGCCACCAATATCTTTCATGCTTTAAAAGAAAGACAGGACTTAACTCTGAAGAAAAGCTCAACTTCAACATTAGTTTCTTAACAAGTTGCTGAACATGAGGCCCAAAAGAGAGGGAATCCTCAATTAAAAATCCTAAATATTTATACTGTGAAACCATTTCTATCACCAAGCTTTGGCGAGTAAGCGAGCATGCATTTTTTGAGGGTGTAGACAGTCTATTTGAAAACTGGTGGTGTAGGTTTTATTCTGAGTAAGACATTGCAGACATTTTCAAATATGAACCTGACAAAAGCTTTTATCCAAAGCAACTTGCATTGCTTTCAAGGTAAACAGTGTTAGTTCATGCACGTCTAGAAATATGGGGACCTAAATGTGATGTCATTTGATAAATCAACAAAGAACTCAGTATCTCCGACTGGTTCCGTTTGTTCTGCAGGTGTGTTTGGTGTTGATGGAGTGAAGACAGTGATAGAGGGAGATTCTCTTACTCTACAGACTGGTTTTATTGAAATGCAGAAAGATGGTCTAACAGAGTGGAAAGTTAATAACACTAACATCGCAACAATCAATAAAGGAACTGGTAAAGTTGAATACAGTGATGATAAACTGATGATGATGTTTAGCGGCAGACTTAATCTGGATCAAACTGGATTTCTCACCATCTGGAACATCAGAATCAAACACTCAGGTGAATATAAAGTAGAGAGTATCAGCAGCGTAGGGACCAAATCCAAGACGTTCAAAGTTATTGTGAAAGGTGAGTCAATTAAATCTGGACGACTTTGTGAGAAAATGCAAGCTGAAATAGTTGACTGTTAAGAGAGAGTCATCACTGTGAAACTATTTTTGCAGAATCTCCACTCAAATCTGTTGAAGATAAAGATGAAATAAAGGTATTGTCAGCCACGAAGGGAAATTCTGAGACTCTACACACTGAAACTGAACTACAGAAACATGATCTAATACTGTGGAGATTTGGAGCTGAAGGATGTCTCATTGCTAAAGGTGATACAGAAGACAATCATACGTCATACTATGATGGTGATGATGGGAGATTCAGAGGCAGACTGGAGCTGGACAGTGAGACTGGATCTCTGACCATCACAGACCTCGAAACTGAGCATACTGGAGAATTTAGACTAAAGATCATCAGCGACAGAAGGATCTTATTCAAAAGATTCACTGTTACTGTCTCTGGTGAGTTGCTTTATTCTTACAAATCTACTGTCTACTAATAATTTACATATTCAATGAATGACTGTCTCTCTTTATCATTTCAGAACCAGGTCTGTCTCCAGGTGCTGTAGCAGGAATATGTGTTGCTATTCTGCTGGTTGCTGCAGCAGCTGTAGCTGCTGGTGTTGTGATTTATTATCGAAGCAATCACTATAAAGTAAAAAGACTAATATGTAAGTCATACAAAAGTCATGCAGATGATGAAGAATCACACAGTATCATCATGTTCATTCATTTCTTCTGTTTCTGTTCTGTTCATTCATTTCATCTGTCCATTCATTTCTTTTTCTATGTACTGCTGTGACTTGAAGCGAAGTTCTCTGAACAACTAAAGCAAATGAGTAAGTATTACACCTGGTATGAGAGAAAAGTGAGCTTTACTGTGCTACAGTAGATTTTAAACGTGCAATATAATTTTTATAGTCAGTTTTTTTTATCATTTTCACTATACATGCTCTGCTTGTTTGATTTAGTGCAGTGATTAAGTTTGTGATTGTTCAGCAGTATAAGCTGAATGACATTCATATACTCATGACTGAATCTCTTTGTTTAAAATGCTGAATTTACAAGAAACTCACCTATAATTTCCTCATTTCTGTTTCTATGTGCTGCTGTGATATGAAGCAAAGCTCTCTAAACAACTAGAGCAAATGAGTAAGTATTAAAGCTGATGCAGCAGGAGGAAATTTTAGCTTTATTGTGCTACAGCAGAGTTTAAATGCATAATATGATTTTTTTTTTTCATAGTTGGTATTTTTTTCTGCTTGTCTGTGATTTAGCACAATAATTAATGATGTGTGTGATTGTCCAGTATAGAACTGCATGTCATTAATAAACTGATGGCTGAATCACATACAAGTGGTAGATACTGACATACAACCAGTGGTAGATATATGACAGGCTTTTATTTCGTTACTGTGCTTAAGTACATTTTCAAGTATCTGTATATTAGAGTATTTTTATTTTAGAAATCATCACCCGCTTTGAGACGCAATAGCCCGATTCACAAATGAGCTGATTCTTTTCAATTAACCTGTTAGATCAGTTTGCAAATCACACTGAACCATAGGCGAAAATGGCCGAGCACCAATGGAAATGGAAATTCCAGGAACACAATAGCCACTTTTCCACTGTCGGGCCAGTGCGTGCCAGGGCTAACAACGAGCCGGGGCGGTGCCAATGGCCTCGCACCTCAAGCTGCGAACCCAAAATCAAGCCGCATTTCCTCTGTCCTGTTTCCTACTGTAAAACCCACCCTTAACACGCCTGTCTTACAACCCCAGCACTTCACCAGCGAAGGGAAAATTAATAAAAACTATTATCGTAAAACGAACTAGAAATTGATGTTTGGCCCTTATAAAGACTTAAGACTTCATCATTGCTATTTTATATACCAATGATTTACGATAAAAATAGTAATTTATTATTTTGTGTCAGCATGCTAAATCAAAATGATAGTTATCATTGTTTCACATAAAAAGAGAACACGCATACTTGTTCAGCTGCAGATGTTCCGTTTAAATGTGATGACAGGAATGCACAAAACAACTCCATTAGGGCTTTTAAGTCCAAATGCGTACACATATAGCACAACAGAAAAATACTGATAAACCCTTGTATGTTTCCGTAAAATTTCTTTAGAAAGAATGAGAATGTATCTTAATTTTCCACGATGTATGTAATCTGAGGAGGTTTGAGCGCTGTCTCCCATCTCACTCTACTGTTATCCTTTCAGCCAAAGCAACAGAGGAAGCTCACAGACCGAAAACCGGAGTTATGATTTACACGGAGTATATAAAATGTATGACATGTGGATGCAGAAGTCCAGTATAAACAAAGACACATGGAGAAGAGAGAACAAATATGAAACAAAATACACGATTATAATCATATATGATTTGTCTAAGTTCTTCAAGCTGGTATTTTCATAAGCATAACGTGTTTTTATTAAAGCGACTGTTAGCATATGCTGCCAATATCGTATAATACATTGCTGCCTCATAAGGTGATTAGAATTCCCATCGGGTCGCAATCGTAAGTTAATTCAGACACTCGCTGGTGTCTGAAAGTGAGTTTTACCATTAAAATGGTTTTAAATGCCTTAATTGTTGATTCAAGTTGATAGCTTGGGAAAACATGGGAAATGAGCAGTGGTGCCAACTGTCTCTAACTCGGATAAACTGCGCCTTTGTTCATGACCACACCTCTAGCCCCACTTGGACTGCTTTGGCCCAAGGTATTCAGTGGGCCGAAAAATCCCTGGCCACTGGCCCCTAGGAAGCCCCGATGAGGCACGATGAAGCCCCGGAAGTGACAGTGGAAACACGACTGGCCCTGGCACGCACTAGCATGCCCGCATTTGGCCCAACAGTGGAAACGCGGCTGATTTCAACCAAAGGGGGCCTGCTGAGGATGAGATGAGAATGAGCATGAAATGTAAATTTGCACTTATGCATTAAACAATTCTGAACCAGTTGCATTTGTTCTCGAGTCAACAACTCAGTGATTTCTGACATGTTCATCGGATCATTCGCTTACAATCTCCTCATTTCTGTTTCTATGTGACATGAAGCCAAGACCAGTGATAAAGAACTGGGTAAGTATTGAAACTGCAGCAAGAGAATTTTATTGTGAAAGAATAGTTTAAAAATGTTCTATGAAAACCATTTTTAACCTGTCTGTGTGTTTAGTGCATTACACTTTCCTCAGGTATTTTGAACAGTAGTTTGGCATAGATTTAAGAAAAAAAAAGTTTATTTAGTTTATTTTTAATAGCGTAACAGATCACATCAGAGGATTATATGTTTGTTCTGAGCATTTGACTGCAGATTGTTTTGTAAATGAGGCAGCGTAATGGAGAGTTCTCAACTTTTGTTGAAAGCTGAAGCTCTCAGCTGTATTGTATCTGACAGCAGCTGCATTACAAACTCTAAGTAAATGATTTCATAATGCTTTGTCTGTAAATTATGGTTTTATATGGATACTGTTGTCAAAACTGTTTCCTATGCAATGACATTAGTCATAAGAGTGGGTGTTTACTGACAAGCCTTAAAGGACCCAACCATTAAAAACTGATAATTTTACAAAGATGGGAAAATCCATGTCATGACCCCTTGCCTTCTGAAATAAAGAGATAGGATAAACATATATGAGATAAGATAAATCGATGATAATAGACACTGCAATATTCCTTAAAGAAATTGTTAATATTCTTGTAATTGTCATTAATATAAAGTGATTATTAAAAGGACACGAAGAATCACACAATATCTTCTCAGTGTTTCTGACATTTTCTGTTCATTCACTTCCATGTGCTGCTGTGATATGAAGCCAAGATCTCTGAAAAACTAAAGAAAACGAGTAAGTATTAAAGCTGATACAAATAGAAAAAAATGCTTCAACGCTTCAAAAATGCTTCAAAGCTTCATTGGAAAAAAAAATAGCTTCAACAGTAGTTTAATATTAAAAACGTCACAAATGTGAGACAAACCTGAACTCGTGTTAAAAAAAATTATAAATTAATTGCTGTGAAAAGTATAGTTTTTTTGATAATTCATGTTAGTGATGAATTTACTAGTCTTCACACACAGTATTATTGTAATTATGTATCATTAATAAAAAGTCATGCAGATAAAAAAGTGATTATTAGAAGCACATGAAGAATCATAGAGTATCACCTCAGTGTTTCTGTCATGTACATTTGATAATTCATTTATAATCTCCTCATTTCTCTGTTTCTATGTGCTGCTACAGATGAAGCGGATATGAGTGAAAATGACAGAAGTAAGTATTAAAGCTGAGCTGATACAGTGAAAGTAACAAAAATAGCTTTACTGTGCCAGAGTATATCTTGTGTATAATAAGATTTTTCATAGTCAATATTTATATTTTCATCAGAAATTCTGCTTTTCTTTGATTTAGTGTGATTATTACTGAAGTACTGAGCTGCATGACATTGATATACTGATGACTGAATCACGTAATCACATACAACATTACTGTAATTGTTACAGATCATAGATAACAAGTTGTGCAGATGATGAAGTGATTATTAGAAGCACATGAAGAATCACACAGTACCTTCTCAGAGTTTCCGTCATGTTCATCTGTTCATTCACTTATAATCTCTTCATTTGTCTGTTTCTATGTGCTGCTGTGACATGAAGAGGAGCTCTCTGAAAAACTAAATCAAATGTGTAAGTATTACAGCTGATACAATGAGACTTGAGACTTAAATGTGATCGTCCAGTATTGAACTGTATGACATTAATATACTCATCATGACTGAATCACATGCAACATGTAATAAACAACATTATATTAATTGTTCATGATTGCTAAAATGCTAAATTTACAACAATTACATTTAGATCTGTGTTTGATTATGTCTGTTTGTTATTAGGGGTCGAGCTTCAATCATCTGTATAGTGTTTGTTCATGTTGGATTGTTCTTCTGCTGTTGAAGCTCACAGAGCTTCAAATTTAGCAGCAGTTGGCATAAAATCATAATCCTGCTGTCCTTTGCTCTGTTATCTTGAGTTTTATCTGGTCTGTGTGACTCACAGCTGTATTTGTTTGTGACATTTTGTGTCATTCAGTGTCACGACACTGAACTAAAAATAATATTCATTTGCATTGACAAATAAAGGCTATGAAAATGTTTTTTAATTCCCATTAAGGATAATTTTAACTAATGTTCACAAATACAATATTACTAGAATTGTTACCGTTTACATCTGATCACTTATTTAAAATCTCCTCATTACTCTTTCTATGTGCTGCTGTGACATGAAGCGGAGGACTATAAAAAAGCATTACGTAAGTTTCACAGCAGATACATCAAGAGAGAAAGTAGTTTTATTGTGCTACAGAGTTTAAATGTATAACAATGTTTCATAATCAGTAATTAGTCTTTATCACTGAACTAATTTTAAAACAAATTAACATTGAGCAATAAATGCCGTGGAAAGTGTTGTTTATTCACATTAATGATGCTTTCACACACAACACAACATTACTGTAATTGTTACTGATCATTGATATAAAGTCATGCAGACGATGAAGTGATTGTTAGAAGCACATAATTAATCACAGTATTTTCTCAGTGTTTCTGTCATGTTCATCTGTTCATTCACTTATAATCTGTTTCATTTCTGTTTCTATGTGCTGCTGTGCCATGAAGCGAAGCTCACTGAACGACTAAAGCAACTGTGTAAGTATTACAGCTGATATGAGAGAAAAGTGAGCTTTATTGTGCTATTTTAAATGTGTAATATGATTTTTCATAGTTAATATTTATAATTTTCACCACAAGTTCTACTTGTGTTTGATTTAAGTGTGATTATCCAGTATTGAGCTGCATGACATTAATATACTCATCGTACAACATGTGATATAATACTGTATTAATTGTTCCTGATTGCTAAAATGCTGAATTTACAACCACTTAATTTAGATCTGTGTTTGATTATGTCTGTTTGTGTTATTTGGGGTCGAGCATCATGGGTTGTTCTTCTGTTATTGAAGCTCACAGAACTCACATAAAACAGAAAGCTGTATTTGATAACTCATTGTGTCAGTGTCTCTGTCATGTTCATCTGTTCATTCACTCATAATCTCCTTGTTTCTTGGTTTCTATGTGCTGCTACAGATGAACAGAATATCCCAGAACAACTGTGTAAGTATTAAAACTGATGCAGCAAGAGAAAATTAGCTTTAAGAGTTTAAATGTAAAATGATAATTTTTTTATATTCAATATTTTCACCACAAGTTCTGCTTGTGTTTGATTTAGTGCAGTGATTAAGTGTAATTGTTTTGTTAAGCTGAATGCCATTCATATACTCATGACTGAATCTCTTTGTTTAAAATGCTGAATTTACAAGAAACTCACCTATAATCTCCTCATTTCTGTTTCTGTGCGCTGCTGTGGCATGAAGTCAAGTTTTCTGAACAAGTTAAGCAAATGAGTAAGTATTACAGTTGATACAAGAGAAAAATTAGCTTCATTATGCGACAGTAGAGTTTAATATATAAATATCACAGGTGTTAAAAATAAATAAATCAATTGTTGTGAAAAGTATTGTTTTATTGACATTTTATGTTAGTGATGGATTTAAGTAGCGTTCACAAACAATATTACAGTAATTATTATAGATCATTAATTAAAACCCTCATCCGTCCCTCGGGTCATTTTGACCCGAAACTAATTTTGAAAGATTTTTTAAAAATCGAGCGTTGATCTTTATGGTATGAGACTTTGTGACTTTTGTCACACTTGAACCAGGAATACACTAAATTCAAGTGAATTCGAGCAGTTTGAGTGGGTGTTATAAAAAAATTAACAAAAGTGTCCCTCGCTGGTCATTTTGACATGCCACTGGAAAAGCATGGAATTTACGAAAAAACTTTTTTTTTTATCACACATGAGCATGGAACACACACAAAAAATGTTTAATCAATTCAAGGATTTTATGTGGGTGTGATAAAAAAAAAAGTAAAAGTGTCCCTCGCAGGTCATTTTGATCTGGCCATAGGAATGAATGGAATGTCCGGGGGAAAAAAAAACAGCATTTTTTTATTTATTAGATTTTTTTTTCCCTATACAAAATCTGACACAATCCAGAAAAGATGCATACCCGAACGAAGGGCTGAGACTGCAGAATGTCCCCGATGCAGGAAAAACCCACATACCCATACACACAGGCACACACACACACACACATATGGTACACACACTCCCATAGAAACACATTATAACATGTATGATGTTTCTGCTGGGAAATGACTGTCATTTTGGCCTTTTATTTATTTTTTTAAATTTTTTTTTACTTAACAGTTACATTTGAGTGATGGGGTGGAGACCAATGAGTTTATATCATATTTATATTTTTAAATGTATCTACATATTTATGAAACTGTATGAATATGCATATGTTTGGATTAAAAATCTGTATAATTTTTTACAATTTTTTTTTTTACAAAATATAGTTGTTTTTTTATGTTTTGATATATATCTGAAAGCCTTGAGCTATATCTGAAAGCTTAATCAAGCCTCAAGTTGGTGTAGTTTTAAAGATTTCACTTGTTTGGCTCATTTAAGAATCTCCATAGGATTGTATAGGCCCTTCTAGTGGCTGTAACCATAAAATGCAGAAATTGTGTCTTTCTTTGTTTTGTTTTTTTTTTGGTGAAAAAATTTACACCGATATGCTCATTTTCATAAAAATATCCAGAATTTAAGGTGAATAAAATAAAAATCACCAAAAAAAAATAACTATATAAAAAAAATAATAATATATATATATATATATATATATATATATACACACACACTGAACAACATTATAA